AAAAAAAAAAAAACAGAATGAAGAAGAACGGTAAAAATTTTATATTATTGTTTAATGTATATGTACATGTAATCTTGTAAGATTAAGGCCCTGTTTACATGATATAGGGTGCCCCTAAGTGGTAGGGCTAACTCTTTTGTTTTCTTTTCCCTGGAGGATTGAAAACAAAGGAGTTTGGCCCTACCACTAAGGGCACCCTATCTCATGTAAACAGGGATTAAGGGTCAATTCTAGATCTCAACATCTTTTAATTTGTGAATTTTTAGAGTCGAGTTTTAATGAACGAGTCGATTCAATGGATCAAATCAACATCGATGCGCTTGCAAGTCGACGGTTCAGCGGTCTTGATCTACTGCAATCACCGTATGATGCGGTCAGCGGTGAAGACATTCAGCGATTGTTAGCATGGGAAGACGACACTCTTCCTGGTTGGACGAGAATGAAAAAATCTCGTGATTATGAAATATTTAAAGGGACAGCTGTTGACGGCGGACCGCCAATCATCAAAGTATGCAACCATATCACTTTTAAGTACTCTTAATTATCATTATTATCATCGTCATTATCATCATCATCACTATCATYATCATTATTATCATTATCATTGATATTCACATTCTTATTCAAATTTCAGACAGTTATCACCCTTAAGAAAATTGCTTATGAAGAAGGTATCGTGACTTTCAAGCATTTTAACATTGACTTTTAACACTAACGGACACCCTGTCTCGTCTGACACTCCCCAAAAGACTATACTAAAAAGGACTCTCTTTGCATTAGACACTCSCTAGTACGGATGACCAATAACATTCTCGAAAGTGGCCATTTTGAGTAAAGCTAACAGTAGATATCGAAGGACATACTAGGATTTCTTCTTTCTTATTTTGTGACAAAATAGCCATCATCTTTCCAATGCTAAGCAGGGGGCATGGGTGGCTATATTCTATATTCCATGTTTCATAGTTTCGCATTACTAAGTAGGCTTTGGTGGTAATTTTAATTCTCAGCGGTTCGCCGGATAACTGACTGGAAAATACGACAGGAATGGGATCGAACCTTTGATCAAATCACTTTTATCGAAGAAAGTTACAATTTTAACGTACTACACTGGTAAGCAGGACGTATTTTTTGTTCTCAACACATTGATTGATGGATCAGTTGATTGACTGAGTGACTGAAAATCAGCTCCAGTGAGGGATCGGTGTATTTATTAGATCGAATGATTGATTTATTCACTGAATGATTGATTGATTGACTGATTGACTGATTGATTGATTGATTCTTCACTGATTGACTGATTGATAGATTCACTAATTTTATGCAGCTCACACTAGTTTACCGCTAGCTACCACCATTTTGATTCACTAATTGATTGATTGGTTAACTGATTGATTGGTTGGTCGATTGAATTACTGATTGATTGATTCAATGATTGATTGATTGATTGGTTCAATGATCGATTGATTGAATGAGTGATTGACTGATTCATCACTGGATGATTGGTTGCTTGAACGTTAATGTTAACCGTTTGTCGGTGATTCCTTGACGTAGTTCAACGAAGAATCAAGGCCTAACATTAGCTGTAATGGACGATGTGGATATCGACGAACCATATCATGCAAGCGTGTGGAGCGTCGCTGATCACCCAGATAGCTATTCACTATCGACTGGAAAACCACTCAGGTATCATGAATATTATGACTGTTAGAAAC